AATGTCTAGATACTGTCTCTTATACACATCTATATACACAATATACTATATATATACACTATATATACACTATATATATACTATATATATACTATATATATACTATATATATATACTATATATATACATATATATGTATATATATATACATACATATATATACATATAGATATATACTATATTATACTATATGATTGTTTTCAATATTATCAGTACCATTCGTAACTTTTCTTAATTTAAATTACTACTTTTCTTGATCACACTTTAGATTAATTATCTTGTTCCTATCACACTACGTTATTCATGTGTCATCATTATTCTATATCGTATTTAATCACTCAGATTTCTTTAATGCCTACTGTTTATTGTAATTATCTGGTAGCATTATTCTATGTTTAAGCAGTTACACAGATGAAGCCTTGAGGACAAGACGAAGTATTCGTTTTCTTAATAAAATACTTTGTGTTAAACTGTATAAATCAGTGTACTGTAGTTACATTTTTTTATATCAATGTTGCTGTGTCGGATTAAAAATTCAAATAACGGTAGAAATAGTGTTCAAATATTAAAGGAATAATGATGCATAGCTTATCAACAAATAGTTGGTTTTCTTTGCAACATTACTGTGTATTTCTATCTATATAAAAAAATCTATGGGAAATGTGTATTTAAATAAAATATAAATTAAAACACAATAAAATATTTAAATTGTAATTAAAAATGAACTTTCATTTTCTATTTGTAAATTATTAAAAGTTGATACGCGTGGTTTTTTTTTTTTAAATGTTTCATATATAGGCTCTGCCTGATACTATGTTTACATCATTGTTCCTTTATTAGAACAATGTCTCACCGTTATTTGATTATATAGGCCTAGCACTGTCTTACCTCGGTTTGAACGTATACAGATGTAGATGATTTAGAAGAAATGTTTCTCTTAGGAGAGCGTGGCGACACACGTCTGGAAATACTGGGAACTTGTAGATCAGTCGTTGATTGTGCAACAGCAGTCACCTGTCCGTGTGCCACTGATTCAAATCCGTTCACTTTTGCCTTTTTTGCAACATTGTATATTTCTTCTGTATTGCTTCTATCTATAGCAAAAGTGTATATAAATAAAAATAATACATCATGAATTCAGCGAACATGTTTCAGCAGTTAGTATTAATATTTAAATTTAATTTTAGATAACTTCTGTCATACCAAATATTACTTCTTTTTCCACCCACCGCTGTTTTTATAAAATTGAAAAAAAGAAGTCCCTGAACACATGTGAATAAACGCATTTCCTTCAAGTGTACAAACGTTCAAAGTCAAAACAAAATATACAAATCAATTTAATGTTTCGAATAAGATCATTATTTAGGAAAAAATGATTTAAACAAGATACATTACCAACATGCATTTTTTTGTATTTTGGTTACCTCGTAGTTTCTTAGAGATCCCCAAGCCTCTACTGTGTTCTGTTTCCATTGGTTCTAAATCCTTTAATAAAGAATTCATTGATACATATAATAATACATATATTCTGACGGTTTAATTGTTTAGTTTTCTGAAACTTTTGGGATAAATATGGACCTTATTTTGATGATGTCTTATAAATAATTTACATGTGTATATACGTATATATATATATATATATATATATATACATATATAAGTATGGGCAGCATGTTAATGTAGATGATAACAGTAAATGAAAGACAAACAACACTTTTCCGGCTAACATTGATTGATACATATAATAATACATATATTCTGACGGTTTAATTGTTTAGTTTTCTGCAACTCTTTTGGGATAAA